TCTACAAAGGCCCTGTTTCACGGGCGCTAGCAACGCGCTGCAAACGCTTTTCACGAGCTGACGTCATATGGTCACGTGACACTAAGGGCGGTTTGTGTCATCCGTCAGCTCCTTCATAGCTGCGAATGGAACAGAGTTGCCGATACATTTGCATTCAAGGCGACAGCAACTCTGTTCCATTCGCAGCTATGAAGAAGCTCACGGATGACACAACCCGTCCTCTAGTGTCACCCACGTGACCATATGACGTCAGCTCGCAAAAAGCGCTGCTAGGGCCCATGAAACAGGGCCCAGAATGCACAAGACCTGGACTTAGCTGTTAAAGAATTACATTCTTTTCTAAATAAATAGCCACTGTGTAATACCTTATTGTTATGAAACAAAAGGAAACAAATATGAACGCCTCATGAAACGAGAGGAAACATAAATATGAACGATTTTCTTCCAATATATTTGCATTGAACTCAGTGAAATATAGGTAATAAAAATGAGGGTGCATCGGAGAGGATATTCACGGCTTGGTCTCGCCTTTATTAGCTAACTATGAACATTAATAGGGCATTTCCAGGCAAGGTGGGTCGGTCAATGCCATACCTACCTGACCAACTAAATAAAACGAATTTCACCGAACTGTGCTTCGATAATGCAAAAAACATAATTATAAAACCAAATGAAAACAAAACCTTACGGAGTTTGTTACTCAGCCTTGGGTCTCCTAATGCACAAAATTAATTGGACGCTGAACGAGGACTGTGACGTTTGCGCCTCTATATTCAATAAAGCTGTGAACTTTACCAAACTTATGTCCGTTATTATAAATTTATAGGTACGTACTATTTATAAACAATAGTTTCAATGCTTAAAACTTCTCGTTAAACATAACTATCTCAACCCAGTTTTGTCAAACGTCACTGAAATCAAGGCCATAATGAAATAAGCAACGAGTGCCCACTCCAGACTCTACCGGTATCCGAAGAGCCTGGCGGTCTTCTCAGCTCAGTGTACGTATTGGGCGAATACGCCCCGGAAACGGTAGAGCATTTTTCTACCAGGAGACTCCACTCAATGCTTGCACGTGATTGGCTGCCGCTATTCCAATCGAAGCAACGTGATTGGCTGGCGGCATCTCCACTCGAAGCAACACGATCCAGCGCCACGGAGGACAAAAGCTGGGGAACATTAGTGTTGCCAGCGGGGGAACTCCAAACGGGAAGAGGGAAGGAGAAAGAAAAGATTTTGTAATACATTTCGGCCCAATGTAAGGCACTCATTCTCAACTACGAGCATCCAAGAGCTCACTGAGTCAATATCGTCGCCCTCCCTTAATTCCGTCGGGAGATATTCCACGCGAAAGCTATGGTTCCTTTCTTGTGATCGGGAGGTATCAATTGAAGTCTTTGATGATAGTTTCCTATGCTGGGGAATGGGCGTTGCAGTCTCTCCCTCGACCAATCAGAGGGCGGAACCGATCGATGATCTACCGGTTCCGAGTCTGGTGGAGCAGTGGACCTCTTATGAGCTTTAGCAAAAGGTGCTGGAGATGCCGGAGATGCGTATGCTCTACTGAAGCAAGATTCAGTCGTATCGGTAGAATGCATCCCGGAGCCAGCAAATGTAAACAAACGTTGGACAAAGCACGTGAGTCTGGCGAACATACAGCGCCAAGTGTAGGTCATTATTTTTTTACATTAATGGCATGCATGGGCAGTGTTATGCTGAATATATTTATGTTGAAAGTCTTGAAAGTGGGTAGAGAAGAAGGTACCTTGTCAGTATCGATTTCTGTTTCAGTTTTGCATCGACATTGTTAGAGGTTCCAACGTATTTGATTGGTATCACCGGAGTTGTCATAATGATAAGGTTTGCATGGAGGATGTCAAATAAAAGGACATTACATTTTAGTCAAAATAAATGCATTGTTCATAGGTTTATTAAGTATGATTTAATTTTATTGAGAGCAAGCATTTTTGAAATAATTACACTGTTTAAGCTTAAAACAGTAGACGCCTAAAACATGGAAATTTTATATGAAGGCCCTCTGAAGCACCGTACTACTGTTGACAGAAAACAATGGGGAAAAGTCATAAAGCCTTTGGACAAGCCATCTGGGCCCAGCGCCTGAAAAAATTCGCACAACAAAAATGCTGGACGCCGGACATGGGCAGCAGGCCCGGTCCGAGACAGCCAAGAGCTGTCCTTGACCTGTATAACAAGGTGAGTTGGAGACATATTGAGCTTAGATCGCCTACCATCAATTGTTAACTTTCCGAAAAATCTACATTTTCTTAGTCTCTTATCTTAGTCTTCTTAGTCAGTGGTATACAGAGGTCTATGGTAATTGGTATGTATTATCATTAACATAATATATGATTGTATTTGTGTTTCAGGTCCAAAGATGCCCACGGCAGTGCGGCAGCCAGCAGCCGCTGACCTTCCGGGGGGTGGCTGCGCTGCAAAGAGGCTGTAACTGTGGACTGCACAGTGTAAGAGCAGACAATTCATGGAGAACTTCTTGATGCCTAGTTCCCATATACTTGTGGTTTTAAATGACTTCTTTTTGGTACAGGGATGCAAACATACACCATAGAGTATGAGAAAGCCCTTATGAACTCATGTTCACATGTGTTTGATTAAATTATTTTTTTTAAGAGAATCCTGCTCAATACGCATACCATAACAGTGCACCATTTTTCAGTGAGTAACTAGGTCTCATTCTTTTTCAGAGCCCCAGTCATCATGCACCATTCTTGCATCCTCACTAGAATGTCAGCTGTGACTGGGTGGTCCTATTTGATGCTTCTAATCACTATTTCTGACTAATTTATTTGCTTGGTGTTGGACATGTTGCTGTTTTGCTGTTTTGCTGTTTTTTTTTGGGGGGGGGGGGGGTGGTGGATGGCTTGGACAATAGCACAGTATAGTATTTTGAGTACATCTGTGGTGTCCTGGGCTGAGAGTTGTACCTATTACTTGTAAAGGTGTGCTGTGTTGTTGCACAGGTCCCCAGGCTTAGTGCTGGTGCTTGCGAGCTAACACAACAGTGCAATGGTGTGGTGGCTGGTTAACTTATGTTCACAAGTTGTTTTATCCCATTTATTGTTAACCTCACTGCTTTTCATGACATTTTTCTTTCCTTGGTTTTGCAAATGCTTTGCTTGGGCTGCATACTTAGAGCATGATGGTCATGATGGTGGCTGAATTCAGTACGCTGAGCTGCATCCAACCCATGCTCTAGGACCCCCATGACAGGGCTGGGATCCAGCGGATCCGGCAATATGTTGAATCCGGCCGTCTGGCGGAGCTGAGGCAGCGCCCCAACATCCAGCCCAATCTGCAGCTTGAGCGGCATGCTGCAGGCCAGGTAATTATAAACATAATATGTCATTGCCACCCAAACTGGCTGTTCACTTGTGTTGTTTGCTCTTAGAGTACCTCATTGTGTGGGCATTTCTTGTTCTTTGCTGCCAAAACATGATTACGGAGCGAGCGAAGCGAGCGGAGTCTTTCGTAGATTAACGGAAATTTCTGGGTATGAGCGGCCGGCCGGCCGGCCGTGCGGACGCTTTTGCGAGGCTTATATCTCAGCAACCACTTGACCGATTTACCTGCGGTAATTTTTGTAGGGTAGCTTCATTCCTTCTTCCAAGCAGACATGGGCATGGATCCCAGACAACCAATCACGAAAATCGAGATGGTCATTAGATGCATGTGGATGATCCCTTATGTAGGTGCCACGTGCAAAAAGAAGAGGTGTCAGTTTTGTAATAGTTGCAATACCGTAGCTTCGTGCAACTTTGGCCCACTTTTTTCGTTGAGCCTCAATAATTAAGTCATCTTTTATGTACAATGTTAAGCAACATGGTCTGGATAGAGGTCACCCCTTTTCCAGGCATGGGCCAAAGTTGCCCTTGGTGGCCAAAGTTGCACAAACTACGGTATCTCGGTAACTACTCGGCTGATTGCGCTAAAAGTTGGCATGTAGGTAGGCACCCACTATGCAATGCATATCCATGTGCCAGAGTTGGGGTGCTGCTGCACGTGCGCACGTGCAGGGGTCGATTCCAGATCTCGAGAACGGCTGGACCGATGGCGCTCAAATTTGGTACGTGGTTAGGGACCGGTTAGTAGGGTGCCGTGCAAAAGTCAGTTGGGACCCATTTTGCACGTGCGCACGTGCAGGGTGCCGCTTCCAGATCTCGAGAGCGGCTGGGCCGATTGTGCTCAAATTTGGCACATCGCTAGAGACCGGTTAGTAGGGTGCCGTGCACAACTCAGTTGGAGGTACCCCCTCGCAATTTCGCACGTGCAAGGCTCACCCTCTCGCTCGCTCCGTTAGTCGCCCCAAAAGGCGTTATACTGGTTATCTAATATCGCTTGGCAATGACACAATAGAAACCTGAAGGGTGGTCGAAAGCCTTCTGGAATAGGGTTAAGCTAAGCACTTTATCCTGTATCTCATTAATACTTAATTCTATTCTTTTCCAGGGACTACAGCCAGCGACCTCCACTTCCATGCCTTCCTGATCGAGGGTCTGGTTAGATGGAACGCGGATCGTCACCTTGCGGCGATCGGACAGGACAGCGCCCGCGAGGTCCGGTGCTACGGACGAGTACAGGGTGCTACGACGGCCGGATACGGGCAGCCGTCAACGACCTGTCGCAGAGGGTGCTCAAGAGGGACCTAGTCACCAGAAGCGAGCCTCTTCGATACACGGGTAAAAAGTCGCATGCTACAGTCACACAAATTATACAGTACAAAAACTGCCAACTAATGCCAATGATCGAATGCAGTTAAGTCCGCTAGCCTCCATTGAATTTGAACTTATGAAAAGGTTGCCGCTGCCGCGACAACCGATCAGCTAAAATTATTTACTACCTAATACCTATATACATAAAACGAACTTACGTACAGTGGCGGATCCAGGGGGGGGGCTGCGGGGGCTGGCAGCCCCCACCCAAGGAAAACTGGCGCCACTGCGCCGCGCAGTGGCGCCAATTTTCAATTCGCAACTCATCGGAGTGCGGCATACTAGGACTAGGATGCAAAAATCAGTCGAATAACGTCGTTTCAGTACGCTCCGCACCGATATTTCCAATCGTGTGGTGTCACTGTACATACTGATCCTGGGCGCCTCTTGTCAGGGCCACTGGGCGCCAATATTTCAGCGCCAATACGATGCGACTATGGCGCCCATCCGGGGCGTGGCGCCCAATTATGACCTGCAGCCCCTCCCCAGTGAAAATCCTGGATCCGCCACTGCTTACGTACCAAGACGTGTCAAGTTGTCACAAGTCGTGAAACATAATGTTTCACACATGCTTCTGTTTACATTCAGGTGAGCTCGTCGGGGTCGCCTACCTGTACGGACAGCGGCGCGGTAGGCTCGACGAGTACAGGGTGGGTGACCCCGACACGCAGCACGGCGAGGATGACGATGTTGGCGATGACCTCGACGAGGGATTCGAGGACGTCGAGGACATCTTCGTGACCGACGCGTACGATGGTCTCGAAATGCCAGTAAGTTAATTAAAGAGTACCGGAGGGTGTGTCGACAGAGGTGTTTTTCTCACAGATTCGCGTTAGACAAAGATATAAAGTGGCGCGAGCATGCCAAAACACTAGCCCTGCAGTTGGTTTTGCGTAATAGTGCGATTTGACGAGGCTCGTGCGGGTCGAAGTTACAGCGAAAAAGTCGCAGTCGACGGTGCTGCCACCTACATTGCCAATAACGGACACTATCATATCGTGATAATTGGGGTAGTTTCAAATGAGAAATGACTTCTATTTTTGTTCAAATTGCTTGAGAAGAAATGAAACAATTCGGAAACGTACATTTTTCCCAAATATCGCGTTCCATTTTTTCCTGTTGAGTTGTTAGGAAAGTGGTCAATTTCAAGGTTGACGGCTAAAAAACGAAACAGGAGGAACAGAGCAGGAATCACGAAGACGTGTGCCGCGCCGATGCTGTAGCCTGTAGATAAGGGGTGAGCAACAGAACCAGCATACCTAACGATTTTGATTAGTGATAGATATTTTTCTCTAAATGAAAGACTATTAGTAACTCAGGCAAGCCCTCTAATATAGGTATCGACAGGGTTGCGGTAAAAGGTACAATCGATGGCACATTACAATTATTCTGAGTTGGGAAACAACACTCTTCAGATACCTACCATCAACAACCTCACTATCTCCTATATGGGAGCTATATCATCTGATTCCAGCGCCCTGAAAACAAACAGGTTATCACCAAATATCTCTGTATTAGCGCCTACCGATATATGCTGAATGACGCTATCAATACCCGACATTTGTAAAAGGTGATTCGCCACACAGACCGCCGGCGTCTGAGGGGTTGAATCAGTGAGCCAGATTGCCAGCGACTCACCGCTGAACTACCGGGCATAACAAAACGGACGATGCGACATGACTCAGAGTCCAGAGATCATCACAGACGCGACGGTAAGCCGCCAACAGCTCCTCTGATGTATGCTTTAAAAATGTTGGCCAAAATTTAAGATCGATGTAATCTAGTGCTAATATTTGGGTTTTCGGTTTTCTAATTCCCTCTATTTCGCGTATTGCTTGAAAATAGCTAGAAGGTTTCTTTTCACCGATAGCAAGTGATTTTAGTTCAAAAGATTGGTGGTGCTGCTACTGGCAACATTATTGGCGCAATATAACCGTTCTTTAGTCACCGTGTCAATAATATTGACACAGTGAATGACCACCGACTCTCACTGAATGTGTCTTCCTGTTCCGCAGGAAGCTGAGCTGTGACTGACTGGCCATTGCGTGTCATCAGTTCGGCCAGTAGCGGCGGAATACCTTCAATTAAGGGGGGCACTGCCGACTTTTGGTCCCATATTCTTTCTATGCAACGCCCATAGGGCTAATGTTAAAATGCCAAAATCAAAGGGGGCACGGTGCCGCGGTGCCCTCCCCGTTCCGTCGCCTATGAGTTCGGCTTGACAAGGGAACCGCGAGGTGGCAGATAGCGATATTACGTATCTGAACGAGGGTTCCGCACGAGATCAGATGGCCTTCGGTTACATTTGTCGTTGCGTCTGTGATGATCTCTGAGTCATGTCGCATCGTCCGTTTTGTTATGCCCGGTAGTTCAGCGGTGAGTCGCTGGCAATCTGGCTCACTGATTCAACCCCTCAGACGCCGGCGGTCTGTGTGGCGAATCACCTTTTACAAATGTCGGGTATTGATAGCGTCATTCAGCATATGTCGGTAGGCGCTAATACAGAGATTTTTGGTGATAACCTGTTTGTTTTCAGGGCGCTGGAATCAGATGATATAGCTCCCATATAGGAGATAGTGAGGTTGTTGATGGTAGGTATCTGAAGAGTGTTGTTTCCCAACTCAGAATAATTGTATTGTGCCATCGATTGTACCTTTTACCGCAACCCTGTTGATACCTATATTAGAAGGCTTGCCTGAGTTACTAATAGTCTTTCATTTAGAGAAAAAAAATCTCTCACTAATCAAAATCGTTAGGTATGCTGGTTCTGTTGCTCACCCCGTATCTACAGGCTACAACATCGGCGCGGCACACGTCTTGGTGATTCCTGCTCTGTTCCTCCTGTTTCGTTTTTTAGCCGTCAACCTTGAAATTTACCACTTTCCTAACAACTCAACAGGAAAAAATGGAACGCGATATTTGGGAAAAATGTATGTTTCCGAATTGTTTTATTTCTTCTCAAGCAGTTTGAACAAAAATAGAAGTCATTTCTCATTTGAAACTACCCCAATTATCACGATATGATAGTGCCCGTTATTGGCAATGTAGGTGGCAGCACCGTCCACTGCGACTTTTTCGCTGTAACTTCGACCTGCCCGAGCCTCGTCAAATCGCATTTTTACGCAAAACCAACTGCAGGGCTAGTGTTTTGGCATGCTCGCGCCACTTTTTATCTTTGTCTAACGCGAATCTGCGACTATCGACACACCCACTACCCAAAATATAACAATACGATTAAAAATTAAAGCTAAATGCAACTACTTCAATTTTGCGATATACTGCACCCTTTGATGGATGTTATTTACCCTATTACTTTCTGCATCCCAAATGAAGCAAGCATATAACTTATTTCATAGGTGTACAGGTAACTTAGGATCGCGAAACATACTGAGCTCATGACTACATCGCTTGTGTTTCAGCTTCAGACGCCTCTCCCGGCCGCTCCCGTCGGAGTCCCCAGCCTCGCCGCCGCCGGACCTCAGGGCCCCGCTACCGCCCGAGTCCCCAGCTCCGCCGACGCTGGGCCTCAGAGTCCCGCCGACGCTGGGCCTCAGAATCCCGCCGCCGGACCTCAGAGTCCCGCCGCCGCTGCAGCTCCGGGCTCCGCCGCCGCTGCAGCCGCAGCCACCGTCGCTGGAGCTCCGGGCCCGGCCGCCGCTGCAGCTCCGGGGCCCGCTGCTGCTGCAGCCGCCACAGCTGCTGCTCCGGGGCCCGCTGCAGCCGCCGCCGCCGCAGCTGTAGCCTCGTGGCCCGCCGCCGCTAGAGCTCACAACCTCTCACGGGTAGGTAGTCAGCCTCGTTTGATCTAAGGACGGGACTTCTCAGTCATTCAGACCGTTTTGAGTCCAATCAAATAAAACCATTAAGCTCCCCAGGATTGGAAGTGATCACCTGCGACCTCAAAAGTTTCCATAGTTACACTTCCAGTAGCGATATGCAAATCAGCGTTAATTCAGACAGCTAATTGCTCGCTTACATAGTCCCGTGTGTTCCACCTCAAACGGATGAATGGTCCATCAGTTAGCTATACACCGGGCGCAAGCACATATTAATCATGCCAATCACCCTGAGCGCTAAATTCGCCCGTTCTACTTTCAGCATGGTAACCAGCCTCCACCGGCTCCTCCTGCCGTCGACGCTGCCAGCTGGTCACCAGCTGACGCACAGCCGGACCTGGAGGGACGCAGCTCACCCGGCCCTGGTGCAGTAGTGGCCGCCGCTCAGTCGCCCGCCATCCCACTGACGCCAGACTGGGCAGCCGAGGGTCTTCCGGAGGTGCGGCTGCTTCGAGTTGCTTCGACCTTTCTGTTTCACTCGGGATCTTTTTTTCTTCTTAATTATGAAATTAGGTATCTCGGCTGACACGAGTGTAAATGCACCCCGGCCCGGTCACACCAGTCTGCTATAAAAGGATAAATCGTCTGTTCTCAGCACGGCGTTCAGCTGCTGTCGGCTCCTCCGACTACCGCCGGAGCCCCTGGCCCGGTCCCTGCCGGCGTCCCGGGCACAGCCACCGCGCCACCCACCGTCGCTGGCTCCGCCACCACCTCAAGTTTCGGGAACCGCGACCCGGCTCGCCAGGTATGTTGTAACTTGTCTCACAATCAAATTGCTTTAACTGTAAGTGCACAAAATGCATGTTCTGATGTGTTCATGAAGGTGACATGCTCTTGTCAGACACCCTCGTTTTCCATGCATGTTTTAAGGACGTGACCGGCCCCGACCACCAGCCGGGGTACGCCGAGTGCCACCGCCTGGCGCAGGTGCTCGTCGGCCTAGACTGCTCGCGGGGGTATGTCGCCGACGAAGAGGCCGAGTCCATCGTCCACCTGTGGCACCAGCTCTCCGCCGGCGACAGAGCCAAGGTGGCGGCCTCCCAGCGGTACCAGCACCGGCTGACGACTGGCCGGTTTAAACAGCCGAAGACCAGTCGGCTGTCTGGTGTCGTGCCGGGCGTGGACAGCGCACGGAGGTAAGGATCCCGCATTTTAAAATAGGACTATCATTGTAAGCGTTGTTCTCAAATGAAACACCATCGGGCAGAATAATTGGGGTTTGCACGCATATTATTGGAACTATTAAATTATGTCATATTTATTAAAAGGCAATAAAAGTGAGATATTGTCCATGCTGGTAGGATTTTGTACGCATGTTAGTCACAACCTGGACATGCTGATGTGATGAAAAAGAAATACGAAACGCGTCCACGTCATCACATAATCTAATTATTGATTTTCACGAAACACAACTTGCATACTGCTTGCCAGGGACCTTCAATTTGGAAGGTATGTCCAACGTGTGCTCCGTAGAATTTCGTAGAACACATGTGAAAGTGAACTTAATGATGGATTTCTATTTGACAGAGTCTCACTCAAGCGAGGAGCGGTTCCCGCGCAACGACCCGACTTGAACCGGCTCGCTGAGACGGTCGTCCGCCTGCTCTGCGAGCGGTACCGAAACCCCAGGCGCAGCGGAGGGTCGGTCCAGTCGCGCTGGGCGCAGATCCTGGCCCACCACTCCAGCCTGCGGGACATTCTCCTCAAATGTCCCGCAATCACCCAGCGGACTGGAGTCAACCTGGCGGCTCTGAACCAGCACACGCTCACGTCCTGGTGAGTTATATGTTCGCTCGATCCTGCAGATGCAGAGACTTGATAGAATGTCCAGTGTCCATCCTCTCATCAATAATGGTGTAAGATATGTTATAAAAATACTACCATCATATTCGCCCGTGTGCGGCTTTACTGCTTACGTTCATTACCTGATTTTGCTAAATTTATCAGCGAGTGTTAAAGCCAGAACAATACGGACCCGTTCATTACCTGATTTTGCTAAATTTATCAGCGAGTGTTAAAGCCAGAACAATACACGCATTCAGTGTTGTAACAATTACGTTTCACAATACTTCTGAGTATCAGAAAATTAAAATTGTTCGCACTGGGAAACCGGCGCGCATCTACCGCATGGTCTTCCTACTGAGGACGCCAATGCTGACGGGATACATCCAGACTCTGTCCCTAAATGCGCTGAACCGAGTTGGGATGAGGCGGTGGGATGCAAGTCGACATCCTGAGAGATCGGAGCGTCAAAAGAGGAGCTCTGGAATACAAGGACCCCAACGAACATTTCAATCAACAGTATAAAGTAAACCCCTCAATTTTTGTTTTTGTTCGCCGCCAGGTTCAACGAGCACCAGAAGGAGACGGAGCGGAGAGCTCTTCTCCAGGGCGTGCAGCTGCCGCCAGCCCGTCCGATCGCCGCAGTCGCCCTGCCAGCACCGGCGCCGCGGCTGATGCAGGTGCAGGTGGTGCGGGTGGACTGCCGCCGCCCACCGCACCACTTCGTCCTGCCTGCCGACACGGTCGGACAGGCGCAGACCCGCCGTCGCCCGGCCGAGGACACCGGCCACGACACCGCCGCCAAGAGGCCCTACACGCGCCGGCAGCCCACCAACACCTGCGGCCAGTGCAAAGGCGCTCTGACGGCGGACACGGGGCACAGACGGGGGAAGGGCGGCCCAAGCCGAAACAAGGTTTTCTGTCCCGTTGCCAACCCTGATCTAACATACGATCAGTGGTTGGCAAAGTTCAAGTGAGGAGTATGTCTTGTACCTATGTATGTATGTCTTGTCTATGTTTTGTGTCCTGTATGCCTGGCAAGTCCAACGCCAGACACCGGCGGAACTGCTTCAGGGCCGCTCTCTCCGGCCGCAGCTCAGGCGCTGCGCCCCCCCCCCCCCCATGATCGCCGCTGGCGCCACCTTTCGGCGCCCCGCCGCCGTCGGTGGGGAGAAAAATAAACCAGATCTGACTTCGGATGCCGTCATGGTGTTTGTGTGGCGTAGAACAACGACGATAATAGCGAGTTAAAACCGCCTGACACTGTTTCAGGGTTTGGCGTTTTTGTTCGTGAATGTTTGCTTGTTCCTTTGATACTTAGGTTTACGATTCCCTTCCTTCGTTTGTTTGTTTGGTCGTTAAACATTAAATATACCAGCGTATAATGCAGGCGTACTTCGTCCGGGTGAGGCATCGTAGTCCCTTCGTCCTCGCACCTAAGGTTCACGCTATTCAGGCATGCCAAAAACTTGACCTGTGTGTCTTCCAGGTAGGTATCACACATTCGTGCGCGGGTGGGTGCGTTGAATGCTAGTTAGATTATGCGACAGTGCAGCTAACAGCGACTTCGGACAGCTTCCACGGTCGCAGAACACGGCAGGCAAACTCACTTAAGGCAGCGGCCATTCGCTCGAAGCCCGGGCGCCGTCGATTTTGTCGGATTCCACTGTATACCCAACGCATTTATCCTAAGCAATACAATTAATGGTGCAAAGTAGCTGCAGCACGGCATGGGTAGCTTTCATATTCTGTCAATTAACCCGCGCCGGGCCGGTGCTCCGCGACTTCCACGCCGGGCCGGGAGGGGGGGGGGTCTGAACTCTGAACCCCCCCTCCCCCCCGTCTAACTCGGCTCCTGGGCCACGTAGCGAGACGCAGTAAGCGGCATTCGAAAGAACGCCAAAAATAACACTTCGGTCATTTTTAGATCAGGTCAAAGCTCGGGGCCCTGTTTCACCGGTGATAGCAGCACGCTGCTATCACACGTGTCAAATTGGGTTTCCATGGAAACATCAACAAACCATGACGCCGTCAATCTGTGTGATGTCATCAAATATTGCTGCTAACATCTTTACGGCCGTGCGATCAGACAAATGTTATCAAACGCATTCAACGAGACAGCAACTCTGTTCCAAACGCAGCTCACGGATTACACGAAACGTCAGTAGTGTGACCTCATCACATTACGTCAGCTCGCGCGAAACCATTACGTCACCGGCGAAACAGGGCCCAGGTCGCCAGAGGCCATCAAAGGTAACATTTTGTCCATTTCAACAATTTTGGAAACTGCCAGCGGCTAACTTGGGAACCGATAGAGCTACAGCGGCGCGGAAAAGCGCATTCGATAGCTCTTTTAATGCTATTTTGCCATAATGTCCCCAGATTTGACCTCGGAAAAGCGCATTCCATAGCTCTTTTAACGCGATTTCGCAATAATGTCCTCAGATTTGACCTCAGGTCAACGGTTTAGCCTCCAGAGGGCAAGAACTCCAAAAATGGCGGTTTTATGAAAAACATTTTTCTGCAATAACTTTTGACTCAGGGAAAAGACGACATTTAATTTGCCAGCGCATCGTGTTCCCCTCGTCGAGACGCGTCGAAAGAATTATAATTTAACCTTGTAAGGTCATTTTGAAAATGTGACCTCAGGTCAAAGTCATGGCCTGACCGGAAAAGGTCATGTTGCATATCAGTCGATCCGTATCGTCGAGCTTAACACATCTGAGGTGTTCTCATCGCTCTAGCTGTCTCTATCAAAAGTTATTGTCAGAGAAAACTCCTGGGGGCCTGATATGACCTGATATGACCTCTGGGTCAAAAGGAGGGGTCACAGGTGCCATTTTTCGGTTCAGCTTGTCGAGTTTACCGGTAACACGATGTTTGAGAATGTTTGGAATGACGTTCGTCCAAAAAAGGCGCCTTTCAATTATCTCTCATTAACTTACCTGAAATGGAGAGGTCGCAAAATTGGCCTGACCTTAGGTCACCAATATCAAAATTCCGAGATATGCATTTTGTATACACTGTTACTATTATCAATCGCTGAAAGTTTCAAGGTGATCGTTTGGTCGTTACAGATATGACGAGGATTCTAACTTTTCTGAGGTGCTTGAGTTACCTGGGTCTGAAATTTTCACATGTGCGGAAAAGATGCATGAACAGGTGTACCAAAAATGGCGGCGCAGCGCCGCCGTTTTCGATATATCTGCGAAAAACCGCAAGAGGGTAACACCCAACCCCCGGCCCGGCGCGGATTAATTTAAGGTTATTTTTGTATGACTGAAGCTGATGTCCACATGGTTTTCAAAGGGTAAATATCGCTGCTTTGAAGCTTTCCATGTTTCTTTCATGAAGCTTTCCAGGCAGTCATTTTTGAAAATGACTGCTACCAGTCAATGGAGGAAAAAAAGAACAACTTATATCAATTATGGAGATATAGAAATAGCAAATGAACGCCAAAGAGGAAGATCACAAGAATCGATAGAATATCAGACGAAGATAATACGGAAGGGGTGGCGTTGCAAAGCCAACACCCCGAGAAAAATCTGATCTGATCTGATGTTTTTCAATATCCTGAATCCAAGAATGATACTCATTAGTGCAAGGAGTATCATGATAATCCATTGAGGGGAGGTCACCCAGCCCTAACTCATCAGACCCAACCCATCCTGGGCTTATGCAAAGGTAGGTGAGGTGTTAGGTTTTGGGTGGGTGTAGGGTTGGGTTGTCAGGCTTGGTCAAGGTAAGTTTGGTTAAGTTAGGTTAGGTTGGATTAGGCTGAGCTTACTCAGATTTGCTAGGCAAGGTCAGGTAACTTCACTTCAATGAATTATAATGATACCTATTTGCTGCCAGACATGTGCATGGATCCGAGAAAATGGATCTGGGATCTGATCCCCCGAATACTGATCTCGGATCCGTCGGGACCATAGCTGATCCAGCTCTGTAATTTATCGAGAGATCCATGGGGATCACAGATCCGAGTCTCATTTTTTGCTTGAGATCCAGTGAGATCATAGATCCTCACTTATTTTTTGTTAAAACATATATAAAAAACTTGTTTCAAGTTTCAACTCACAAACGTTCTGTTTTAAAAATTTTATGTGATCGCACGTCATAATCCACAGTTTTGTGTCACTTATTGGCATAGAAACCCATTAAAACATGGTTTCAAATGTGGTACATGGTGGTATCCACTCAGATCATAGATCCATGTTCTTAATTTATCGTCAGATCATATGTCATAGATTCAAGATGTATTTTTCACACCGGATCCGGTGGGATCATAGATCCCAACCTGTACTTTGCTTCGACATCCACTGAGATCATAGATCCATTACTCGGATACATGCACATGTCTGTTTGCTGCACTTAGTAACATTATTTTTGGGATCCCAAGTATTGAAAAACATGGAAAAGAGCAAATTTAATCTTGGAAAAATCTGGTGCTTTAGTGTTACAGTAATTTTCATCTTAACCCCACCATTCATTGCATTTGATGTGTTGTGTTTCATTGCAAAATGTTTGCTTGTTTTACATAGCATTTAATAAAGAAATTAAATCAACACAAATGAGACATTTACAAGTTGCAAGATCAAGAACATGCTGACTGGAAAACGTAATCATGGGCTCTGTCAATGGGGGGGGGGAGGAGTTGCAGGGGTTAAAGCCACCCAATAATTTTGCTTCTGCAATGCCAACCAATAGGTAGTGATGCATTTACGGATCCAACCCCCCAATCCTGAGAATGTGTCAGAGCGCCCAAGTGGAATGAATATATGCTGCTCAAAATGAACTTTTCATAAACAACAGTTGATCATAAAACAGTGACTTTTAACAAATTTCAAGGCTTTTGGGTCAGAACTTTAAAATGGCTTAAGATATTTTGCTCAAATGCCAACCAATTAGGTACCTATGCTTTAGTGCAGGGTACATAATAAGTGCCTACTGCCTAAGCTGGAACCTGAGATATACCTAAGCCAAAAGCAAAGAAGCTCCGGGTGGGGTTACTTTCAGAAGTGCTCATTTTTTTCATGAAAATTACACATGGTAATCCTTAGTAATCCTAAAAGCTACCATTTAAGTTGCACATTATTATATTCACATTTATCATTAGTTAGTAAGCACATTCATCAGACATCTGGGAATTCATGCCATTCATTTGACAAAACTAAAAATACTGCTCATCTCTTAAATACGGATCAGAAATAACGTCAATTTTGGTGCATGAGCTCAGCTATTTTGAATCAAAGTTACCCTGGCCTGTCAATACCCCTGGTTTTAAAGCAGCCCTGTTTTACAGTACAAAGTTTAAATATGTAAATAACATGTTAATGTGTAATGCCTGACACAATTTGTATGATAAAATCCAGGATTTCTTTGGTTGGCATTAACAGCAAAATAGGTACCAATACCTATAAACATCTTTGAGCCATATAAGATCAGGGCCCTGTTTCACCGGTGGTAGCAGCACGCTGCTATCAAATTGCGCGAGCTGACATAATGTGATGACGTCATACTGCTGACGTAAGGGGCAATTCTGGCGCACGATTGCCGCAATATTGTTTTACGTCATCAACTAAATGGTCGAAGTTTAAGTCCAAATTTTCCTTAAACCCAACTTCTTTTAAATACATCATATTAAAAAATATATGTTACAAATAAATATACTATCATGACTGTGTAAACTCTTACTTTTAAGCACACACGTCACTTAATGCCGTGGCCAAGGTCGCGGCATTCGTACGCCAGAACTGCCCATCACGTCAACAGTATGGCGTCATGACATGACGTCAGCCGTGCTGCTATCACCAGTGAAACAGGGCCCAGACGTAGCTATATTATCTATGTTGATTTGCACTTGCCAAACTGATGATGTAAAGCAAAAGATGAAACATGAAAATTTCAATTCTGAATGCAAAATGTATTTTGATGAAAAAATGTACCAATAAGAATACCAGCCAACACTTCTACAAAGGCCCTGTTTCACGGGCGCTAGCAACGCGCTGCAAACGCTTTTCACGAGCTGACGTCATATGGTCACGTGACACTAAGGGCGGTTTGTGTCATCCGTCAGCTCCTTCATAGCTGCGAATGGAACAGAGTTGCCGATACATTTGCATTCAAGGCGACAGCAACTCTGTTCCATTCGCAGCTATGAAGAAGCTCACGGATGACACAACCCGTCCTCTAGTGTCACCCACGTGACCATATGACGTCAGCTCGCAAAAAGCGCTGCTAGGGCCCATGAAACAGGGCCCAGAATGCACAAGACCTGGACTTAGCTGTTAAAGAATTACATTCTTTTCTAAATAAATAGCCACTGTGTAATACCTTATTGTTATGAAACAAAAGGAAACAAATATGAACGCCTCATGAAACGAGAGGAAACATAAATATGAACGATTTTCTTCCAATATATTTGCATTGAACTCAGTGAAATATAGGTAATAAAAATGAGGGTGCATCGGAGAGGATATTCACGGCTTGGTCTCGCCTTTATTATGCTAACTATGAACATTAATAGGGCATTTCCAGGCAAGGTGGGTCGGTCAATGCCATACCTACCTGACCAACTAAATAAAAACGAATTTCACCGAACTGTGCTTCGATAATGCAAAAAACATAATTATAAAACCAAATGAAAACAAAACCTTACGGAGTTTGTTACTCAGCCTTGGGTCTCCTAATGCACAAAATTAATTGGACGCTGAACGAGGACTGTGACGTTTGCGCCTCTATATTCAATAAAGCTGTGAACTTTACCAAACTTATGTCCGTTATTATAAATTTATAGGTACGTACTATTTATAAACAATAGTTTCAATGCTTAAAACTTCTCGTTAAACATAACTATCTCAACCCAGTTTTGTCAAACGTCACTGAAATCAAGGCCATAATGAAATAAGCAACGAGTGCCCACTCCAGACTCTACCGGTATCCGAAGAGCCTGGCGGTCTTCTCAGCTCAGTGTACGTATTGGGCGAATACGCCCCGGAAACGGTAGAGCATTTTTCTACCAGGAGACTCCACTCAATGCTTGCACGTGATTGGCTGCCGCTATTCCAATCGAAGCAACGTGATTGGCTGGCGGCATCTCCACTCGAAGCAACACGATCCAGCGCCACGGAGGACAAACAGCGCCGCCACAGAGATGGTTAACAGTCCGGTCAGGCCACGAAGCTGGGTGAATGAGATCATATTGCACATCATTCGATTCGCAACGTCTTCCCGAGTCCATTAGTAGCTTTCCCGTCTCTCTAGCTCAATTTGATCGAGAGTTATTGACGAAAAACTCTTATGACCCTAGTGACGTACGAATGACGTCACGCAAGGTCAACAATGCAAAAGTGAGGCAAAAATGACTTTAATTGAACTTTCAGTAACCAGTGATGTCACTAGGCAGCTTTACCACACCATTTGTAGGCTCTCTTCCGAAATCACAATTCGAGACCATTACGGTGACGCAAAATAAGTACATTTATAGAAAGAACACCTTCCTAATTTTTTGCATACTACTTAAAAATGATCCAAAAATGTTTTTAAGTCAATAAAAATTAAAAAAAATTGGTCCGAAAGGCATAAAAATGCAAATGAAAGGAAACTCGAGGTGTTATATATCAAAAATAATATAAATTTCAAAATTCTAAAAATGCATATTATTCTTCGTTTCAATGCAAGTTCAATGCCGTATAGCATTTGGCATTTGGATTATCCGTCTTAAGGCCTGGCTACACTATGCGTTTTCTGCGTGCGTTTTTGCAGGTTTGCGTGTTTTGCGTAATATCGTTCTAGGAAAAAAGTTATAAACAATATAATTTTTACTTCGGTTATATACAAAAGCTAATATAACTTTTGTGTAACTAAAATTTAAGGTGAAAAACATCACAAAAACGTAATATCGTTCTTTTTTCTAGAATGATATCACGCAAAACACGCAAACACGCAAAAAACGCACGCAGAAAACGCATAGTGTAGCCAGGCCTTTAGAGTTACAGCCCGCCAAACTTGGGGCTGCAACGCAAGATCCAAAACATGTTATACACTATAACTCAAAAATCACTCATCTGATAAGCCTGAAATTGTTACAGGAGGATTCAGAGCCCCTGATTACCCCTTAGACCAATTATCGTTAAAATCCGAGAGATGAGGGTGTCAAATTGGAAAAAAGTGGTACGATCTATCGTGGAATGCCCCACCTATTTCTTGAACCCAGAACCACGCAGTATGAAGTCATCCAAAAATTTAGTAAGCGATTTCTAGTTTAGTAAGTGGCGCACCACAAATGAATCCATTCACCTGTTTTGTGGGTGGCTCTCGGAACTTCCATTAGCTGAATTAGCAGTTTTACGCTGCTTACTAATACGCTCTTTAACTTTTATGTATGCTTAGGTTGAAATTGGATAACATTGCTATTTACTTTGGCGAGAAGTAAACATAACCAAGGCCCTATAGCATAACAATTAAAAACTTTCAAACACTTTGAAAAAATATTAGGGTAGAAAACATGCTAGCACTAACAGGAACTTATCGCCTGTCGAACAGGCTGTCTGTGTTATTATAGAAGGGTGTTATTCTTCTAGGCCTTGTGTTTACGTGATTTACCTTTTCACGGGCATGTTATTGCATTATACATGATAAAAATTGGAAAGATATTGGAAAAAAATTGGAAAGATATTAAAATCATTCATCAGCACGCTAATTAGTGTGGATAAGACTCGCTTTTCTTCAAAATGGCCCCTGGAAATGACGCACAAGGTGCTGGTAAATTTTGTCTCAAGTGGGATGGATTTCACAGCAATTTGACCTCAGTATTTGAGACATTGAGGCAGGGAGAGGAACTGGTGGATATTACATTGTGCTGTGAAGGCAAGAAGTTGAAAGCACACAAGATGATGCTATCAGCTGCCAGCCCATTCTTCAGAGATCTTCTACAGGTCGGTCACAACTCAGTCACCACTTACCTTACCATCATGCATCAGGATACCTACTTTGTACATGTTGAATGTTGATTTATGATACAAATATTAAGGTATTATTAACCCTGATGTCACCATCAGCATATCTAACCTAATCTAACCTAACCAGATTTACAACCTACCAAGCAACCAACCTACAACCTACCTACCTAGCATTTTCTCACATACTATAATACCTATATATGATGAACTTGAAGGTGACACCAGCTTACTGGTACCATCATTTATGCATTTCTTTTGTCCTTTAAATTTACATTTTACATGCCCATAGCTCTTAGCATGATCACATAGTATACTGACTGGGATTTTGACTGGCATTGCCCCCTTTCTTGCAGGAGAACCCTTGCCAGCACCCAGTGTTTGTCTTGCGTGACACAAGATGCCAGGACATGGCAGCTATCATTGAGTTTGTATACCGTGGCAGTGTAAATGTGTCACAGGCACAGCTGGCCAGCTTCATTCAGACTGCAGAGCTGCTGCAAATCCGAGGCCTCAGTGGTGATGAGGATGCTAAACAGGTAAGTTGAGTGGCTTATGCAAGAGCTGTGAGTGTTTTTTTCACTTGCTTGTCCAGATAAATGAGGGTATTTGGTTGCCTTATTATCATGAAGCTAGTGCATGATTATCTCCACCACCTATTTTTTTTTTATCAAGTCATCGCACAACGACCATTGTTAATGGTGCTCAGATCGTCATATTCTGGTCATTTCCAGCGTGAGAGCCGGCCGCCGAGCGTTGACGCAGTGCCCACTGAGCCACCTCCTATGCCGGCATTCCGCGGTAGCAACCGCCGGTCCGCCTCACCACCGGGCACGCCCCAGCGGTACCGTCCCGCCCCCGGCGGCCGGCCGGAGCCGACCACGCCGCCGGCCAAACGGCGCCGGCCGTCGGCCGCGTCCCCTCCGCCTCCTCCGGCTGTGCTGGCGGCGCCGCCCGAGCCGCCCGGCGCTCCGCCGCCGCTCCCCGACCTCCACGAGCCCGTGGTCAAGCAGGAGAAGTTCGAGGAGTCGGACGAGGTGCAGGTGTACGAGTCCAGCGTGCCGCCTGGCCTGGAGCAGATGATCTTCGCGCCGCAACAGTACCCGCGAGGTAGGTCGGCTGGCGGGTGCAGGCTGAGCTGGTGGAAGGAGCGTAAAACATTTACTTACCATGCCCACAAACCAGGTGGGCTGCTGGAGGGGATATGCCTAGTTTCGTATGGTTTTTCTTGCTCATTGTATGAGGTGCATAGCGTCTGAGTCCGTGACAGCTCATTTTTATCATATTCCATGGCCATGTTTTCATATAGGTACATATATTGATGTTCCTTTAGTATATTAAATCTGTCTCCTTCATTGCATAATTATCTACATGAGATCATTTTGAGGTGCATTGTTTATGCTATTGTTCCGCGCCTCCGCGAGTCTTAGCATGTTTTCTTGTATTCATACTTTGAGTGCATATACACCTCCATAATGTGCTGAGCTCTACCGCTCAGCATTCAGCGTGTTCTCCGGTTGACAGGCTGTGCGTCTGTTGCAGCGATGAACTCGTCGACAGGGAGCATACCGCCCACGCCTGCAACCGGTGTAAACTCGTCAGAGGACAGTTCACAAGGTGAGATCGGAACGAAGACTTTTCACGGATATCGCTGTCACTGCAGCATCAGTGGCACGTTCCTAACATGTTGCTGTTATGAAAGTAATCAGTATGACAGCAGGGAAGGGGTGATTCAAGCGCCCACGATATCGGGGAATGATCGATTAGGCGACTCACATCTTCTCTTTGTGCTTGTATCGGTAACTTAGGCAGCGCATTTAATTCCAGCAAATCCATCATCATGAATCGTTATTGCTATTTTCTTTATAAATTGCCATCACTGTCATAGATTGATAATTATTTCACTTGACTGTTTCCTCAACTTAGGCTACATTGAACCGCGTCTTATACCGGCATCAACAGCTTAATCTTCTATCAATTCGGTAGTTTTCGCGTGTTTGTCATGAATGCTTTTACCATGAGCAATGAGCATGCATGCAGCTCCAATTGAGTTTTGCCGGCACCGGTTTTGCGAGTTTTCATGCGTCAAAGTGCGATGACCAGAAGAACGAAGATGGTCTGGCGTGTTTGCTTTTACGACGTGGAACGTTCAAAGGTGGGTGGATTTTGTAAGTCACACACAATGTGCTTTATATTTCATGCATTGCTATATTTCCCACCGCGCTCGTTCCGCGCCAGTAAAAGCAAACAAAGGTCTTTCAGTTCATTTGTGATAGTTATTGTTGTAGGGACTTTCGTTTTCGCTCCTTTCTTTATTCAGAGGCCTTCATTTCTTTCCTGTTTTTGTTCTTTTTTGTTCATCGCAATTTTTCACGATAACTTATCTCTGTTGTGATTTTTCTACCGCGATGTTGTCATTTACTCATGAGGTGTGATTTTTCAAAGGATTATGGATGTCTAATCAAATGCCATTCAGTACGCCTAATCGTTCATATTTCATACGGTCATTAAATGCTTGAGCGGTTTCGCGTTTCACTCTTCCGTCTAGCGTATGCCCGTTGCTGACCTACCCTTTAACCCTCCGCTCCAGGGTCGACGCGCAGCGGCCACACATGTCCCGTGTGCGGCCAGAGGTACTGGAGTCTGGCGTCGCTGCACAACCACGTCAGCCTGCACCGCGGCACCACGGTGTGTCCCGTCTGCAGCAAGATCTGCAGCACCACCAGCAACCGGAACAGGCACATGGCCAACAAGCACGGCGTCCAGATCGGCTGGCGCAACGGCGGACCGGTGGTGACACCCATCGCCTCGGCGACGGCGGGAGGAGGCGTCAGTTCGGGCGCCGCAGCGACAGGGGTCTCTGCAGTCGGCGACGGTACCGGTCTGGCAGCAGACGGAGCGGTCAGAGGAGGGTATCCTGTCGGTGACTCGGATCCAGGACTGGCCGGGGAGTAGCCGATGGGTAGGGGGATGAGTTGAGAAGAGTGGAGATCCTCGGCAGGGAGAACGGTCGGACTTCGGAGGTCATGGCGATGTTGAGTGATTTGTACATTATTGAGCTAATTTTAATACCCGGCATTATTTGACGGTGTTTCAAACAGGAACAGAATAGAATCGTCCACCAGACATGTCACGTGTTCAGTGTCGTCTTTGCGCACAGATGCCACCCATCCTGTCCATCATGACCCATTGGTGTCGTTCTTGGTTATCATAGCATTGCCATGTTTTATCTGTTCTTATTAGGGTAAGTCATTCATGCTGGCATATATGACTTGTCCGAGTAGATATATTTGCATGTTGCTATTAAAATATTTTAATTACTGATATTTTGTAGAGGCTGCTGTGCAGCGGTATTCTGACAAGTTATAATCCTCATTTGCATGAATGGTCCACTCCCACTTTGTGCATAATGTTAATATTCTGAGAGGGTGAGACGTTGCTCTTGTTTTATTTTATCAGTATATCTGGTAAATATAGCTGTTGGTTCCCATGTTTGTTTAGGTTGTGGTGCCGGCGGACGACTCTCATCCAATTACCCAGCTAGTGGGACACCCAAAGATAGAGCTTGTTTCTTGTAGTTTCTTTTCAGCTAAGATGGTTAGTAATTTCGCTGAAACTAAAGCTGAAAGTAAATGTTTACCTTACTGAATACCACAACTTGCGTAGCTCGAATCGGTGTGTCTAATCGATCGCTTTTCGAACGTCGTTTTCTCGTAGTCTTGCTCTTCCCATGTGCATTCAACATGAAGTGAACAAAGAATCGATCCCACACACACTACCCACTGAGTGTCTTTTGCCATTATACCCCGGTCAGTGCGTCCACCGTGCGGCGGGCGGCGCTGTTACGCGCACAGCCCACTGTTCACACTGTGTCGCCGGGGCCGCGGCGGGCGTGTGTTGCAGCGGCGGCGCATGTGTGCACCCAGTGCGGCGCCGCCTACCGGACGGCCAGCTCGTTGGCGCACCACGCCCGCCTGCACGACGGCCTCACACTGTGCCCGATCTGCGGCGTGGCGCAGAGCCGCATCTGCAACCTGCGCCGTCACCTGATACGGCGGCACCGGCTGAGTCGCGAGCAGGCCGTGCGCCTGATCCCATCCCGTGCCGAGCGGCTGGCGCGCGCTGCCGCCGGCGGAACACAGCCCGCAGGAGCTCAGGAGGCCGGCGCGCGGACGGGGCCGGCCGGCGGCGCGGTCACCCTGCCACTGCAGATGGACGGTGGCACTGGGCAGTTCGGCGCCTTCTGACTGACTGATTAGTACGAGGCTGACATGTGTCTGGTCAAGGGGATTTATCGGTAGTCATGATCGGCCATGTTAGAGTTTGTGTCGTTTTAATTATGTACTAGACAGTCTTATATTACCTACTGCCAGGGACAGTGCTAGTATGTTTCAATCAGGCGGATTTGTATGGATTATATGTGACACCGGGGACGACCTTTTGAATGAGGCAATATCGTTCTTGCCTTGGTTTGATCAGTTGTATCGTACTGACAGGCTTACATCGTCCGAAAAAAGGCTTCCTTTATTTGTTTATGGCGCTATCTTTGACGTGTAATAGGTGTTTTGCATTTGTACGTCCGCCTTTGTTGCATTATACTGTCAGGAACGAACAATAAAAATCACCGGGATGCCTATCGTATCGTTTTGAAACTGGTGTTTCACGAAATGCTGGAAGGAGGAAAGGGTATCATACGGCACACCCACTGAATGTAGGTAGAGGCATGGATTAGGTATTCCTGGATGGGACACTCCGCCGATTTTCCGACCACCCGGCGGCGGCGGCGGATTTCCCGACGGCGAGGGCGCTGGCGCCATTTTAGCATTGCGGGCTATGGGCGGAGCGTGTCTTTTGGTATACTTTTGTCGTTTATTACTTACCTATAACCGATTTTGATGAAAATTTTTGTAAACCTGGTAGAACAGGAATTGAGGAATGTCATGGAAATATTCTTTTCCCAGTTTTGATTTAAGAAGTTGCTTAAATTCTGCTGACAAGTGAGGGTTCGTGATTACAGCCGAAGAGCTAATTTTAGAATAAAGCTAAGTTTTATGCTATAACATGAAAATAAGTTGATATTTGTATTAAATCATCAATAGGAACTTGTTTGACTGCCGAGGAACGATGATATTTGATGATAAATTGCATCGGCAAGTCAAGAATACCGGCTCAGTTTATGGGCATCAGGTAATGATTCCGTATGTGATAGTGACTAAATGGAGCCATAATAACCAGTATAGCGCCTTTTGGGGCGACTAACGGAGCGAGCGAGGGGGTGAGTCTTGCACGTGCGAAATTTCGAGGGGGTACCTCCAACTGACTTGTGCACGGCACCCTACTGACCGGTTTCTAGCAATGTGCCAAATTTGAGCACAATCGGCCCAGCCGTTCTCGAGATCTGGGAGCGGCACCCTGCACGTGCGCACGTGCAAAATGGGTCCCAACTGACTTGTGCACGGCACCCTACTAACTGGTCCCTAACTGTGTACCAAATTTGAGCGCCATCGGTCCAGCCGTTCTCGAGATATGGAAATGACCCCTGCACGTGCGCACGTGCAGCAGCACCCCAACTCTGGCACATGGATATGCAGTGCCTAGTGGGTGCCTACTGCCTACCTACATGCCAACTTTCAGCGCAATCGGCCAAGTAGTTACCGAGATATTGCAACAATTACAAAAGTGACACCTCTTCGTTTTGCACGTGGCACGTGCATAAGGGGTCACCCACATGCATCGGGAATAGTCCAATACTTGGTAGAAGGAATGAAGCTACCCTACAAAAATTACCGCATGTAAATCGGTCAAGTGGTTGCTGAGATATAAGCCTCGCAAAAGCGTCCGCACGGCCGGCCGGCCGGCCGGCCGCTCATACTCAGAAATTTCCGTTATTCTACGTAAGACTCCGCTCGCTTCGCTCGCTCCGTAATGATAAGAAAGGACTAAAAATTATGTTTAAAGTGTCTGAAATTGTGTCTTATGAGCTAAAGTTCTCTAATTTCGCCCTCCATTACCGCGTTTTTAGCACGCAAGCCGGTGCAGCGGCCGCCGGCGCACTCGCCGCCGATGTTTCGGAGCTCCGCCACCAGGGCGGCCGCTTGGTCGCCGGCGCTAGTGTTGGGGAATAGGGAGTGTCCTATCCAGGAGTACTTCATCCATGGTAGAGGCGTGGTTTATTTTTATGTTGATATTTGCAGACGACGTTTTGCGGCATCGTTTTCTTGCCGTCTTTGCCACCACCCATCGAAGGTAAACCGAACGATGCAGTAGGTAAATCAAATAAATGACCCCATCGTAAGGGCATGCCACTTATGTTTCTATTCGTACCTGATTGCACGTGCATCAAAGCAATGGTTTCTCATGGCCATTATCCCTAGAGCAATAGTGTTTGCCTTCCCCTTTATCGTGGTTGATCCGTCCATTCTCCGCGCGGACAGGTGGTCTCTGTCCTCACCCACCGCCGCGCGCCTGTGTTGCAGCCTCGTTCTCGTGCCCGGTGTGTGGCGCCGTGTACAAGTCGAGCTACTCTCTGCAGCAGCACGCGCGCGTCCACGAGGGCCGCACCCTGTGCCCCGTCTGCGGCGTCACACAGAGCCGGGTGACCAACCTGCGGCGCCACCTGATGATCCGCCACAACCTGAGCAAGGAGCGTGCCTGCGAGATGGTCCCGCTGACAGGAGGAGCAGGAGGGTGGGATCGAGCGGAGCTGACCGCCCTCCGGAGGCCGCCGCCCGGTGCCGGCGAGCCGCAACACTCGCTGGCTGCCATCGCCAGTGGTGGCGGACTGGTACACGACGGCGAACGACTGCCCTGAGCGGGTGCTGTCGACGGCAGTACATGTCCAGAGCTGGTGCCCCGTAGTGTTCAACTGTACTGTCCTAGGCTGGTGTCCTTGTCGCTCTGTGGCGGCTGGCAGCTGCCTTTAGCTGGTGCTCGCTCGAACAATATGTAAGCCGAGCCAGAGCCATAATAGATAGTTGGTAGTTGGTGATATAACACAGAGCATTGGTATGCTAGCCGCGGCTAGGCCTCGTTTTGCTGGCCAGGGCTGGCGGCGTTTGACAGTGTGTATTTTTTAATTGCATTGATACCTATATGTTTGACCAGTTTGAACTCTCTTGACGTTCTCGAGAGGTCGATAACTGTAGCATGTGTCGGACGCCGGTAGGTAAATACCAGCATAGTATGAGGACGTCAGTTGTGTTGTTTGCTTTCTCGTTCATGTTTGAAATAATTCTTTATTATGTGTCGTAGGAATGTGAAATACTGTTCTATGGCAAAGAAGTTGAAAACGAATAATATATCAATTGTGGCTCTCGCCAAAAGAAGCACTCGGTATTTGCCAACCTGCGAACCGGTGGGCGGCGGTCAGCGAGATTCATCTGCGACTTCCTGACAGACAGACATGTAGAACGATTTGGCTAGGATGAAGATGAAAGGTAAGTTTAATCCATCTAATTCATGAATTATATTAATTGCAAAGGATTGTGCGTTAATTATTTGGATGAAAATGAAAGCGTAGGCAATGTAACGGGAAAATGTTCATTACTTGCCTCTATATCCTTGTTTTCCTTTGATCATGTCATGACGTCATGCTACCATATTTGCTACCATGCTACCAGTCGATTTCTCGCAACCTTGGTGAGGTTTACGCATTTGCAACACAAAAACAAAAGTGGTTGCAGAAGCACTCAGTTCACCGCTTGGTTTGGTTAGGAATGTTTCTCTAGTTAGTCATTTTAAGATTAAGGTTTTTCATTGTTTTCCAAACAGTCAAATGGCCCTGAATGCTGCAAGGGTAGCTGGAAGAAGACGAACGTCAGCGACGCAGGACGACCAGCAGCAGGTAGATTCAGCCCTCAGTTGCATGTTCCACATAATTATGATGTTTTTACAGTCTATTTTGTTATGAAATTATTTGTTGGTAATTGTGGAGCATTGTAAGTTCCAATCTAATGTCTAAAGCCCACTTAAAACTGCGGAATGGTGACAACTTACCTGCTGACGCGCCACATTTGTCTCGCCACTCTTAAAGGGACCCTCCCACCTTCAAAAAAGTTAATGAATTGCCATGAAAGTGATGTCGCTCGGTTCAGAAAGAGCGAAAACGAATATCTACCAAATTTCATCGAACAATATTCACCAGTTTTCAAGATATTAGACTTTTACTTTTGTTTACTTTTTGGGATCTCCGCTGTTCCTAGCGACTTTATTTGAAAGTGCGGCACTTGTTGCGCGCAAAGCAGCATATACCACCGCGTGCTACCAAACGCTTTAGTGAAAGATTTAAAATCGTTAGATCTGCGCTGACGTCACAAATTCTAAGGGGGCATACCAAAGCATTAGCCCCTTAGAATCCGAAAACTGCAAGTTTGAAATTCCATACCTCCGAATTAAAACATTTTTCGATGTTGTGAGTGCCCAAACCGGTATTTTCAGGCCATGGCCACCAATTTGGCTATCACAACTCAAAACTAATGTTAAGGTGGGATG